GATATACCAGTCTCTGATGCCATAAGCGCATCATGTATGCGATTTTTCTAATTACTTTTACCTGAATTTTTACAGACTCGTAATATAAATGTGCGTACCAGTCAGTTTCTATTGCCACTTTTACTTTGGAGTCGCGATGACAGCAGCGTCAGACAGTGTGGCCGCCGTTCGCGATCCAGTGCCAGCATATGAACTTTGGCGGATCATAGGCCAAGTCTGATGAAGAATCTGTCGAGTCACTTGTTCCGGGTCATTCTGGACGCCGTATTGCCTGTTTCGCCTTCCTTTTTAAGCACTCGCAAAATGTACCTAAACTATCGCAGTTGTGACTTCTCATTATGGAGAAGCAGCGGTTGTACACCAAAGGCTTTCCCGGATTTCTGACGAGAGGTACATCTAAGAAAACCCATTTCAGCCGCTCCTACCCGTGGTCGAATGTTTTCAGTCGTGGCCCACGACTCAAGACCGTAGGTGAGCATTGAGAGGAAGATCACTTTGAACACAGAGCTTAGTCCTCAGGTTTAGCTCTACTTTAGTCACAACTGTTCGGGCTAATTCATGCAAAGCGCAGCTGGCCATTCCGATTCTTTTCGATCGATCTGTTCCTCTCGTTTTCTGTCATTCTGTGGTAAACACCAGCCTGAAGAACGTGAACTTCTTCGCTTGATCCAATGCTTCTAGGTTTAGCGGCTGAGCGCAACGGTCATGAGAACGAAAAACACCAGGTTTTTCGTTTTAGATATATTTACGCGCATGCCGGCATCGTCGCATTCGGCTAGAACCTTTCCAGAGAGCACTGGAGATCAATCTTTGAAGGTGCCAACAAAGCAACATTTTCTGCAAACAGCAGACCTGTCGTCTCGACATCTTCCACTCTGATACAGTCGTCCCTTGGTTGAGTCCGACCGTCCCATGCGTGTACAACACAAACAGGAGAGGGGGACTGAATGCACCGCTGGCGAAGACCAGTACTGTCGAGGAAAGGTTTCGGCATGGCGCTTTCTCTGACGCTGCACCTGCTCTCAACACACCGTAACTGGATGACGCTTAACAACTAGCCATCGGTCCTATATTTCGGTATGAACACTCATGGCTCATTGCTCCCGCGGAGTTTGTTCATGTAAACGGAACACATGAAAACCGTATCAGCAGTCTGGGAAGGAATATTCTCATTGTTCACAAAAGCATGCCGCTTGAATTTATGGTAAGCTGGAGTAGTGTGATCTGTACGACGCTGCATATACTACGAATTGTAATCTCACTGAAGTAGGATGATGTTATCAGGTCTTGTTTACAACAGTGGTTCAACGGTAGAAGGAGTCAAATATTAGGTAAATACTGATGCTTAATCTCATCGATGTCCATACATATTGTTCGTTTCTAACGCGTTTTGAGCCGCGGCTAAAAGCGAGGATTTTACATTAACTTGGGCATTTTGAGTACCATGTTTGAACTTGATGCGGTGCTAGAGATTTTCGGCTGTGTTGCAGATAGTGTTTATTCGAGGGTTGGAAGTGGTGGCATAGGTTCACGATAATGACCTCGTTATGACTCATGTATGCCGTTAGTTTACCCTCTACGGGTTTAACTGTTACTTGTATAAGGTCCTTGATAGGACACGAGAAGCATCCAGCTACTCTAGTGATAATGTCAAAAGTCAAAATGGAAAACTCGCAGAATTACAACTTTTCTTAACGACACGACAAATAAGCATTCATGTCAGAACAGAACTTCGCCAATGCATTCCCTTTTTCAGCAGTCAGTTTGCATTTCATCAGTCTTTTGATCATTAGCAGGATGGTGAAATCTACCACTTTAAAAGGCCATCGAATCTGTGACTGGCACTTTGACACTAGCGTCAGTCCGGTGGTCTGGGTATCTTAATCGGTAAAGCGTCAGACTCGTAGCCGAAGTGTCATTGGTTCAAATTCTGGCCGGATCGGAAGTGAAAAGCGCGTACAACTGAGTGGAAAAGAAGTAGACTGCGCTTTCATGGTTGCTCAGCTGTAGGACTTTTCAGAAACTATGGCACTCTTGACTGATAGCGTCTTGATTGAAGATTCGCGAATTGCCATAAGCTTTATGAAAAACGCTCGAGCCACGAATTCGGAAGAATTACAAGCTTTCCTATCTTTTCCTTAGGTCTGATGCTTTAGAACGTCTGTGACGTGCATGAGGGATGAGTTAAATGCGTCGATCGATGCAGTCGAGTTTTAGACATCAAAGTTTGCGATGCCACGGAATCAACTGTTTGACAGCATATTCTTTAATCAGAGGGCAAATGGAAACGGAAAGGTGCAGAATTCAGTGTTCAGTAGAACGAAAAAGAAAAGGATAGGCTTTTCAACAGTTTGACGACTTCCATAACGTGCCGTCTTTGTAGTATTGTTTTTCATGAAATTTATGGTGCGTTGCTTATCACCGTCATGGTGCCGACAGCCAGATATGATATTTATTTCTGAAGGTAGTATCTGCAAATAAGTGTTTAGTACGTCTTATAGTCCCCTGCTTCCTTCCCTCATAGTGGTAATATTTACCTACGTTAGATGGACAAAAGGCGAGTGATTCGGCGGAGATTCGAATCTATAATTTTTCGACCGTGTACCCTCCCGACCCTTTACTGATTGAACCACCCTTGCCCATAGTGCGCACTGCTTTGCGAACGTCAAACCACTGGCCGACCGACTGCACAATGCGGCTGTGACAGAGCACCACCTATACTGGCATACATCTCAAAGATGATTATTACTGTAAATTGAAACTTGCCAACAAAGTGTGACGAAGCTGTCTCAGAGTCACGCACCTCAGCTGCAAACGGACAAATACGTATTGTCTGCATCTTGCAGATGTATAAAATGAAGCCCTACCTTTCTTCAGAGATATTTATTTACAGCCCAAGAATAGGCGCTCTAAAAGCTGTCCTAAATATATCATGGATATCGGTCTGCAAGTGACTTTTGTCTTTGCAAAGCTGGACTTGTAGATTGGGCTTATGACGAACACCTTTGGATTGGGTTGCTAGAACAATCACCCCTTTTTGGGAGATTTCTATGATCAGATGATCGAATTGAGTGTCAAAGTGCTAGTTATGTAAGGTTGCTCAGTAGTAAATTTGATAGCAGTTCATGTCATGTACTCGTTTTACCTGATTTACGGTAAGATTGCTGCGATGTCGATTCGCTTTGTACT